GAGGGATGACGATAACAAAGTTCGAAAGTTGTAATGTAGCAAAAGTAACTGCCATAACCATAGTAGCAAATTGCAGCAACATACCAATGCTACGACGTACAGCTCCTACCGTGCACGACACTAGTGAGTATCAATACTCACAGCAGTCGCAACAGCACCAATAGTGATAAGAAGACGAAGAAGCTGCCAAGCATGCGCTCACCATAGCTCCTGAATAGCCCTATACACAGGAAGACGATGAACATATCACTGCGCAGAGATTCGTTGTCGAGCTTCGAAGGATGAGTTCGGCTGAAGCGGTAAACCCTAAAACCCCCAAAGGACGCACGTGAACCTTGTAAACCCCTAAAACCCACCAAAACCTCCCCTAACCCCGAAGAATCTCCCGTGAGCCGTAAAACCATATCAAAAAGCCCGAAGCCTCAGAAGGACTGCAGCAGGATCCAGTCATATTTGGAGCCCTTGTACAGTGTTCACAAAGGCTCCACGAGTGGAGCTGCGAGCCTATGTAGCGTTTGGGGTTTAAGGTAGGGGCCTCATTGACCAGAACACGGTTTTGGGATGTACTATGAGACGGCTACAAGGGGACTTTGCGAGTACTTGCAATACTTTAAGTGACAGGTTGCGACTTCTCCGCCGGTGCAGCCCTGACTCCATCCCCACATCCGTACCCACAAGAATCTGCAGAACAAATTGGCAAGGTCCCCCTGAATTCTATGTCGGGGCGGGGGGGGGGGGGGCGTGGTCCAACGAAGGGTAAAAGGAGGGACCCTTAATAAGAATTCCTAGGTATATACCCTTAATACCTTAATATAGCTATTATATACCCATGCCCATTATAGGGTAGGGGTCCCCATTAAGGGTCCCTCCTTTTCCCTTTTGAGTTTAGGGTCTAGGGCATCCAGGCTGGGGTATGCACTAGGAGTTTTGTTTGGAGAGTGCTGGAAGGGCATCTACATGCAATTTCTTGCTAGTTACGCTTTCTACTATTCACTTGAGCCCACAGCTCATTACTTGAGCGCCCAACATGCTAAGCCGTGAATAGGGACCCAGACACCATAAGGTTGGAATATCCCATCCAAAAAAATATGTTGGAGAGCTGTTTTGGTACCTGAGTGAATCCTAGTCCTAAACCTATACAGACTGACCGCAACTGAACAGGCCTGGAACCGGTTCCCGACGCTTCTTCCTCAGGCGCCTCCCAGTGGAAGGCGGTACCCCCAAATCCGCAACCCCAAGTCGCGAATCATGCGGTGTAGAGTTTGGGGAGCATGGCTAGGGCTTAGTTTTTGAAAAGAGAACCCCTTGACCTTGATGCATGGCGGGAAAGATGACTGAAACCACAGGCCCTCAAATCTACCAACAACTAGAAGAGGGATGAAGAGGGTCGGGGGGGGTATATGCTAGAGCAGCTAGGGGCTATAACTACATGCTTGATTTCCGACCGCCCGACTCGAAACCCTAGGTGTACCAACCCGAGTACTCTCAAGCGTGAACCTCAACCTTCGGCCCTTAACATGCTCGGCCTAAATCTGAACCTGAGTCTGGTTCTGTGACTTGACCCACTTCTTGGTCACATTCTTGCGCTTTTCCTTGAAGGCATTGCATCTGCAATCGCACAAGAACAAGATCGTGATCGGAGACCTGGCCGTGACGATGCTCATGTCCTCGATACAGTCCGCATGCAGGGCTAGTACAGGACACCAGTCCTGCCAGTCCTGGTGCCGGAACACGGCCAATATGTGGCTGCACGTCAAGGACTTCTCTTGGCTGGCTTCTCAGTTATGCACTTGCTCACGTCCTTGTCTTCGATCGAGGTCATGTTCAGGGTCCAGACCAATGCCCTGGCAAGTTGTCCGGCCAGATACTTGGCTACGACCTCACACATGGTCTCGTCGCAGGTTAGCAACCGTGACGTTGCAAGCCAGTTGCAAAAGGGTTTATATTAAACCCTAAACCCGAAACCCTAAAGCCTATAGAGTTTTGGGTTTTGGGCTTCAGAGCCGAGGCTCTGTGGCCTCATGGACCCTGTAGTCACGCACTTGCGCAGACCTTCGTCCTGTAGAGTTTTGCACACCTTTGGGTCTCAAGACCAAGCCCTCAAACCCCCAAACCTGAACCCAGACATCCTTCAAACCCAAGCTTTGAAGCCTAATGTAGGAGCCTGATCAAGAAACCCTGGGCCCTAAACCCCCAAAATAGTAGGATTCATATAATTAGAAGCAGCCCGAAAAAAGGCCCAAGGTTTCTTAATCAGGTTCCTACCTTAAGCCATTCCTACACCAACCCGTGGACTCCAAATCTGCGGAGCCGCTGGTGGCAAGGTGGTATTGGCTCGCCTGCATGCTCTGAAAAAGTTTCGGGACCTCAGCTCTTGGGTTTAGGCGTTTAGGGCTTAGGATTTAGGGCATGGGGTTTAGGGGGCCTGATAGTAACCACAAGCTTACCTAAGGATTTATGGTTCATAACTGACACTACAATAAACTCCAAGTCGTAATTAATCCCTGAAATCCTGCAGCAAGCTTAAAGCACACAAGGTTGGGAGCAAGTGCGTTCAAGGTCCCAGCCTCCCAAAACCTCTGACAACAGGAGGTCTGATCGAAACTTTTTCCCTTCCTGAAATCCCCGCAAATGATGGGAGGAATACTACTGGGTTTAGGGCTTAGGGCTTAGGGTTTAGGGTTTAGGGTTTAGGGGGTTAGGGGCTTAGTGCCTTGATAAGGTACGCGCATTTGTGGTATATTCACCACCCCAGGACAAGGGTTTCGGGCTCAGGGTTTGCGGCACAAAGGTTTAATGTGTACGGCTTGCAAGTCCTTGTTATAGTAACCTTGCATCAAATCTGCGAAATCAGGATGCTAGGGCAGAACCCTACTTCACAACTAATGTGTGCTTCTATGGATGTTTAGGGCCTCAGCGTTTAGTTGACAATGTGGGATATTTTGTTAAGCCACAGTACATAATCCAAAGCGATAGAAACTCTGCGACCACTCCTCCACCGGCAGCGCAACACAGCCTCCACCTTCAGCCAGGAAACTCCAGTGACGGGTTCAAGTTTTGCAAGTCATTAGGGTTTAGGGCTCTTTGTATTTAGGTGCATGCTGTCGGGATTAATTGGTAAAGTTAGGCTCCATGTGTAAACCCATGCCACATTACTCCTGAACATAGTTGTTCTTTCATATGGTCTCCTTGATTGACCTCCACGTGCACTCTGATCCCTTTTGCGCCCTGGCTTTTCTTCAACGGAAAAACTGTAAAGAGTTATTGAGGATGTATAAACCCTAACAACACTCTAAACCCTAAGTTTCCTAACGGATAGCCATCAAGCCATTGACTGGCAAATACCCAGTATGACCTGAACCAAAGCCCCAAACCGACGAAGCCAAGAGGAAAGATGCCAAAACACAGAAAACATGGGGCCCAATAAGAGCGCTAAGTAGTCGGGATCGCAACACAACACCCCAAGAATTCAGGCAGTCCCAATTTCAAGAAGCCCGCATATATCCCTATCAAACCAAAAAATCCAAGCAAAATGCCGTGTTATGCTCGAAAAAGATGAAAGAAAAGATAAACCCTAAACCCCTAACCCCTAATTTCCTAACCCCTGAACCCTTAACCCTAAACTCCTGAACCCTTAATGAACCCTAAACCCCTGCACGCCTAGACCCCTAAATCCCTACACCCCTAAACCTCCACACCCCCAAACCCCGAAACCCCTAAACCCTAACAAAAAGCGCCCTAACGGTTGATGATATAAATCCTGCATTACCCATAGTAAGGAATATGCCACAATTCCCATAGTTTAGAGTCCTTAAGGTCATGCAGGATTTATATCCTAAACCCTAAACCCCCTATAGATCCCCTAAAGGAACCCCTTAAAGGTACCCTTATAGTTCCCTTTAAAGGGAACTCAACCGAAGTACCGAGGCAAGCACCCCCGTCGGCCCCCTGCGCTGGCTCGGCCTCGAGCGGCCTGTCACTTGCGCATTTGTGCTGCTTGGGACTTCAAACATGGTCTTAGTATCCTTTTAATAAGGGTACTATAGGGTTCTATAATAGGGTTCCTTAAAGGGATCTATAGGGGTTCTATAATGGGGATCATGGGACTTAGTAAGTCCGGTTATAAGTAGCTTAAGTGGGCTTGTAAGTGCTTATAAGTATAGTTACCGTATTTATAACCCCAGTTACTAAGTCCCATGATCCTTTAAGTAGGGTTTGTTTAGCACAAAGGGCCAGGCTTAGGGATTGGGGTTTAGGGTTTATAGGTTTAGGGTTTAGGGCTTAGGGTTTAGGTTGGTTGGCTAGTAGGGTTCAGTGGTGAGGGTTGGTTAATAAGTTCAGGGCTTAGGGTTTTGGGCTTGGGGTTTAGGATTCAGGGTTGGGGCACACCGAGAACTTGTATTGGCTTCAAAAACCGAAGCTCGGGAGTTCCCGAGGTTGAACAGCATGGTTCTAAGCCCTGTTCAAACCCATGGATCAAGTTCCGAAGCTTTAGGCCCTTACTACACCCAACAAAATGCATGGGAGTTTCCGAAAATTAGGGGTGCCTCATTTTGGGGTCCTTATTATAAGGATCCTACTGTTTAGGGTGCTATATTAGGGTCCCCTCTTTTCGGAAACTCCCACATGTCAAACTACGCCCTATACATTCATCCGAATGGAGGTTTTCTCACGGACTCCTTGGAGCGGAACGAGATCTTTTGCCGCAACACTCGCCATGGTGCACGTGAGTGTATATACATATATAGGTATATAAGGGCTCAGAACACGCTCAGCAGCGAGCTGTAGCGATCGCTGACTGCCCCAGCGTCTAGGACGCGTGCTGTGCCGCCATAACCCGTGGCTGGCATTCCCCCTCTTGGCATCGGAGGGCGCGAAAGGTGCGATCCCGCACCAGGGCTTCTTTGAAGGCTGGACGACAAGTGAGTCGTAAAGCCCTCTCTTTGCTCGCCGAGCACCACGCAACCGGACCACCTCAACGTGTTCGTCTCCGACACCTTATGGGCCGCGGACGAGGCAAGCATACAGAGACATGGCAGGATCCCGACCGCGACGATCCTCAGGGAAAGTGGAAGGTATGGCCTGGTGCCTACTCACCCTCACGTGCTCCCTGGTGGCCCAAGGCCAAAGCGAAGCCCACTTTTCCGACATACAGTGGTGTTTCGAACAAGGCTACCCCCACACAGCAGCCGCCGACCCCGCCAGGGCAGGGCCCCGAACCTGGCGGCTTGGTGCCGGACATGCAAGCTGCTCTGAATATCGCCAGACGGGCAGAGATCAAGGTCAGCAAGCTGCACAAGGCCTACGACCAAGCTCAGGAGCAGTGGGCCGAGTACGACCGGCTAGCCAAGGCCAATTACCAGCGAGAACTCCGGAGATTTCAAAAGGACTTGGCTCGAATCGAGAAGGAGGCTGTGGAGGCCGAGGACCAGCAACAGCAGTCCAGGGATATGGTCATCAAGGTTGCCCAGGAGCAGTTGTTGGGCAAGCGGCTAGAGAAGCCCGCTCCCAGCACCGACAACTCGGTCCATGCACTCTTCGATTCTTGGGCTGCGGAAGAGGGCAGGGACTTGGATGGAGTCTACAAGCGTGCGCTCAACTCCCAAGCTGCCCCTCCATGTACCCCGACGAGGCCGCAGCATTATTCAGCTGCCTCGCCCGTTTCGACAGGACGAGCTCCAGCCTTGACCGATCCTTACCTACATGGAGCGGCTGGGGCATCCCCGACCCTTGCCTCTGGTCCTGCCTCTGCCCCGCATGGTGGACCGCCTGGACTCAGCCCGGGTACCAGGCAGATACCCAAGCATCCAGGTCAGAGGGATATGAGCCTGTCTCGCTCTCCCGCAGGCGAGGCCCCACCACGTGCTGGGATCAAGGAGGCTACCAAGGGCAAAGCCCAACCCGCCACTGGACATGTGACTTTGGAGATGAAACTGCAAGAACGCCGCGAACGAGAAAACGCGAAGCTGGCCCTCCGCCCCTTCGGGGTAGGGGCCATTCCAGGAGCTCGTGCCGCAGGCAGTGCAGAGACCGTTCCTGTGGGATGGGGCGGCCTTGCTGCCATGACTTTGGACGACGACGACCCGGATCTGGAGGAGCCTCCCGGAGCACCACGACTGTCCGAATTGGAGTGACTGTAACCGACTGCACCGGCCTTGCAGCGAAGGGTCCTGGACATGCGAGGACTTGCCGCCTAGAGGGACGATCACGCCGAGGCTCTTTGAGCTTAGGCTGTGTAGTTCCCTGTGGGCAAGGCTGTTCTTGTGATGTCTCTGATCCGTTTCGCTGCCGGCTGGTCCCTGAGAGGAGTCTTCCTGGCAACATGGTGTACAGTTTTGTTCTTTGTACAGCATCTGTTTGCCCTCCTGAGCCTTGTGCTATCCTATCTGCAGTCGCGTGTACAGCGGAGCTGTACAGTCTTGCTTCAGGCACAGTTTTGGTCGATCGGTTCCCGGGAGCTCCGTCTCTGCCCTCTTATGTCGCCTTCGTCATCCTCGGCCACCTTAACTCTTCCTTCGGCTTTGGAAGGGTCCTGGGTGAGCCCCCGCCTGGATTTTGTTTGCTACGACACCCTTGTTTTCTCTCCTCGGCTCTCCTGGCCGTTCGCAGCTTCCGAGCATCCTTCCCCATTGTTGGACATGCAGTTGTGCCCAGGATAAGCAGAGCGCCTAAAACTCACATCGGTGGCGCTGGGGTGAGTGCCTGCCATGCCTGGACACTTCGCATACCTCTTCACGGGCTGCCTTTCCCCATTTCTCCCGTAAGGTTTAGTCCCGATCCCTTAGGCCTTCTGCCTAATTTTGTCAGTGCCGCCTCCGACGAAGGATGCGAGCTTCTCCCTCGTCACACAGGCGTAGGGTTTCAGCTGGGTAGCGCGCCTAAAACTCACATCGGTGGCTCTGGGGTGAGTGCCTACCATCTCGTTACGCCGTGTTTTGGTTCATCCTTCTCTGTCATCCGGACCACCGCTGCCTTCATGCCTCATGGCGCCTCACCTGCCGTGCGAGCCTGTGGGTACGTGATCCCCGTTTCGGAGGTTGGTTTCTTTACGTTTCTGGCCCCCGGGGTGCCCTCCCAGCCGAACTGCCCTCAGGAGGACACCCTAGCCTGCACACTCATGATCTTCCTTCAGGTTTTCCTACGGGCTTTGGCAGGTTGGTTGATTCCCCTTGCAAGAAGCTTCCTGGCCTGTTCATTCGTTGTCCTTGTCAGGTTGCCCTTCAGCCCACGACGTGCTCGGCAACCGTTGGCCTGCTGCAAGTCACGTGCCCGGCTGGCTATGCCCAATCTCTGCTTGTGGGGGCCCCTTGCCCATGCCACCACTGGACAACCAGTCCTTGAATGGTCCTTCCAGCCGTGCAGGAAGGATAGGTGCCGATCAGGTAGGCCTCCAGGCAGCTCGGGCAGCCCAGCCTGGCGGTTTCTCAAAGCTGCCTGTGCATTATGTTCTATAGGGTGCACACTGCCTTATAGATTGGGGTGCGGGTCCATGCAGGGGGTGTGCGCCGTGTGGATCCTTGCTGCTACCCCGCCAGGTGCATTTGCAGCCAATACCCCCGATGCAGCTCCGCCTGAGGTTCATAGCAATGCTGACCACGGTCAGCCTTCTGACCTTGTCGCCCAACCTGTCGATCATGCTGCTCCTCAGGCAATTCACAGACTCCCAGACGCTGCCGGTGCTGGGCGTTTTGGCCTTGCACGTGACTTCTTTGGAGGGGAGCAATTGGCACCCAGAGGGCCCCCTCCGCCAATACCTGTGCGATATACTGTCGACAATGCTGTCCAGCACACACGGCCTGTGGCCCTTCGGGCTTCACCCTTCTCTGCCTGGATCGGAGCGCCTTACTATGTGCCTGAGACTGTGCAGATCCAGCTTCCCATGCCGTGTGATGTCGAGGATGCCCTCGATGCCGTCGAAAGACAAGTGCAACACTTGCGCCTGGAAGGCTGTGATCGAGCAATAGCAGTGAGACCTCAGCCGTTTCCAACATGCGCAGCGTTTGTATTGGCACCAGATTGGGCTACGTACTCATCCCTCTCCATCGTGTGTCTCGATTTGAGGGATCTTGGCGATAGCACTGAGGGGCCCGTGCTTGTCAGTTATGTCACTAGGCCGACATGCCTAGCTGAGCTTTGCCGAGAAGCAAGTGTGCACTCGCCTCAGCACTGCAAAGTGTACATCGGCACAGAGGCCGAGCCACTCCAAGAAGACGAGGAGGTTAACCTCGCTAGTGGTTGCCTGGTAACGTTTATGCGCACTGACAGGTTGCCGTGCCACGCCAATGATCTGCAGTACAGGCTGCAATTCCCAGGTATATGGCAGACTCCGCCGAGGTTTCCCACCGGCCCTGCCGTGCGCAGCTCTTTGCTGCTCCTCCACTCCAGTGGGAGGTACCTCTACCGACCGCAGGCCGCACATGACCCTGGAGACGTAGCTGCTGCAAGGTTCGTTGGAGTCGATCGAGTCTCTGTCGATTTCCATGCACCTCAGGATGGCTGCCTGGAACGGGTTATGTATCGCGGTATCAGGGTCAGAGGTACCCTAGCCATCGCTGAGCATCACTACGACCCGCAGTTCGTAGTTTTCCTTGACCTCCGCCAGGTTGCCGAAGGTGTACAATTTGTCGTCCTTGATGTTCCCTACATCCTCCTTGTTCACCTACCTCGCCTTGTGCGCTTTCAGCCACCACCGGGGTGGGCTCTCAAGGTGAGGGGGGGTAGGCGGAGAAGGGACCGCATTGAGATTGATAATTCGGCTACTTTAGTCTTCAGCTTTCAGTATGTATGCACCTCTGACTCGTCTGAGACCCCGTTCGACCCCACTTCCGATGGGGATGACGGAGACAGTGACGGTGCTCCTGACGACTCTGATAGCGAGGACACAGATCGACGCTCCAGTGCCACCACGCGTTCAAGGAGTCGTCGGCGGGGTTCACCTGGAACGGACCCCGGCCACTCCTCTGACCATTCTTACCAAGGTGGTGTCATGGGATTCAGGGAGTTAGAGCCTTTGGTTTCACCAGTCCACCTTCCAGGGTTATTGGTTGATGCGGCATGCCTTCCAGGTGCCGACCCCCATGTGGACTGGCAGCAAGATGCCCGCCTTCACTTTCTGGCATCAGCCATTGGAAGTGGGACAAGGCGTCTCCTCGCTGACGAAGGCGCTGCCTTCTACCGAAGAGCCCCGTGCAGGTATGCAGGTGCTCCCGAGCTAATCCTTGAGCCACACACCCTCCTTGCTGCCTTCCAAGCTGCCTTGCACGCCAAGCTCCTGTCAGAGCCTGTCCCGCACGGCAGCGCAGATGCTGCCCGCCTTCGTGCTCTCCGTCACGCAACCGAGCATTTAGGTGGTGACTGGCGCTACTTTGCCCCGACAACAAGACTCCACGCGAGCCTTGCAGAGGTCCCAGACTCTTCTTCTGATGAAGATCAGGAAGTTAGGTTGCGTCGGGCTGCTTTCATCATTTGCACGCCAGGATATGCACCAGAGTTTGTTGTCGTTGAGGTGCAATTCCCGACTACCTTGCCTGAGCTTATCCCTAGGCTGCGCGCCGCCAGGCGACCAGAGCAGGACTTCAGGTTCCCCCACCTCACACCAGCCACTCCACAACCTATCGAAGGTACGGGGCTGTTCCTTGCCGCGCCGCATTGGTGCGCTAACGCACGGGTTGTGTGCATTGATGCTACCAGGCTTAATGGAAGGCTCTTTGCCGCGTATGCGCCGGCATATGCGGATAATGACACGTTGGCAGACCTCTCCGGTGCTCACGGCCTTGATGCCACCTTTTATGCCGGGCTCAGCCAGGAGCCTATTCCCGAGGGAGTCTTGACCCACCTCGTTGCGGGATCCACTGTGTCAATTTTCGCCCCGCACATTGAACCCCCTCCACTGCAGGACCTCGGCCAGCTCCTTCTAGATGCTGGACAATGGAGCTCTCGCCCATTGTATGTGTACCCAGAACCTGCCGATGCATATTGCCTTGTCCGCGCCACCCACCATCAGCTCTTCCGAGCTGACCCGGGCAAGCCCACGCAGTATCGGCGCCGTCTGGCCGCTGCTGTTGGGGCACCAGAGGCGCACATCACTGTCACGCCCTCTGCCCCTAGGGTCGTTGGTATTGACATCGCTGGCGTTCCCTGCCGAACTGCAGTTGCTGTGTCGATCCACACGCCTGACCGTGCCCTAAGGCGCCAACAGGACATTATCCTTGACTGCCGTCCCATTCAAGAAGGCCTGTCGCTCTGGCCCGCGCACTCTGGCCTGCTGTTTCTGCCCGACCTGCTTGCGCACTTTCAAAGCCGGGTGCCCGTCGGATACTCTGTTCAGGTCACCCCCGACACCCGCCATGGAGTGCACTTGTCTGTGCATGCCGGTGCTGTCGTCGTCGTTGATTTTGTCGCACAGCATCCACATGCACCACAAGCATCGCGTGGTCTTTCTGCTGCAGCCCCTGGTCCGCCGGACCAACGGCGTGTGCACTTCGCTGCTGATCCGCCGTCCCATGCACAAGAAGGCAATGACCTGCAGCGCCCGATAGGCTCTGGACCCGGAGAGTTTCCTGTCCCTGTATCCACAGTACCAAGCGCTGCCAGTACTGAGAGCTTTCAAGCTGTCTTCTTGGTTTTCGCACCATGTTATCTCCCGGAGTTCATCGAGGTGCAATTAAATGCTCCAGTTCCATCCTCTGAAGCCATTGCAGCTGTCCAGGCAGCGCGTTTACCCTCTCATCGAGAGCGGTTCCCCAGGCTTCTGGCTGTTACACCTCAGCCGGACATGGAGTACGGAACATTGCTTGCGGCACCGGAGTGGCCCATGTCGGAAGTTCTCGTATTCTTCGACCTCCGCGGTTTCGACGACAGATACTTTGCGCTCAATGTGCCATCGACCATGACCCTCGGTTCATTGGTCACCGTTGCGGATGTACCAGCCACTGCAGAGCTTCTAGTTTATATCCGTGACATGCCCTGGCCGTTGGGGGGAGACGTCCCTGTTGACCTCCTGCCCGGTGATCTTGTTGTCTTCTTGCGCCCCGATCACTCCATTGCAGTCCATGCCAGCCTTGGTGACATGCTTCAGCAATCTGTCGGTTGGGCAAGCGAGCCAGACATTCCAGGTGAATACGGGGATAGAATTTGGCTCGTGACAGACCACGAACCACTTCTGTTCGAAGTCAATCGCCGCCGCGCTCACGCCTTCAGGCAAGATGTGGCAGCAGCCCTCGACATTTCCAGTCATTCCATTCGCCTGCAACCTGTCTGGCCCAATATCCTCACCTTCGCTGCGCAGGGGTTACTTGTTCGATCAGTCTTGATCGCCGTCGAGTCTCCTCCGCTCCCAGCTGATGGCACAAGTGGCTGGGTCGTATGCTTACTTGATTTGCGGCCTATTCTCCTTGGCCTGGTTGCTGCACATGCCCCTGATGGCAGGTATGATGCCCCTGGCCTGCGCCAGCGACTGCAGGGCTTCTGTCCCCCAGGTTACTGTGTTGCAATAACCGGCGGACATACCCGTGACGACAGCTCCACAGGATACTTGACGGTCTTTGCAGGTGAGGTTCTCAGTGTCAATTTTGTCGCCCTGGCGTCAACATCTCTGTCGAGCACACCTGAGGTGAGCAGGAACGAGCCAGGCGATGGTGGAGACCCAGGTGCCACCCCGGGCCCCTCCTCTGAGAACGGGCTTGGCGCACCCCCGTCTTCCAGCACCTCGCGCCCCAATGCGCGCCGCGACCTTCCTCCGAGCACGCCTGCGGCGCGTGACACACAAGGCGACGCTAGGAGGTCTATTCGCCAAACCCCTATTGCCGCGATTCCAGATGCCTCTGACAAAGCATCTGACATCGCCCCTTGCGGGAAAGTGCAGCTCAAGTGTGGTCCAGGGATTACTATAGAACATGCCCTCCCCGCGGGCACCCAGGATCTCACCCCTGTGCTCCTCTCCCTTCCGGCCCATCGCAGGGCGTCTGGTTTACCCAGACAAAATCGCCGTCGCTTTGCCGTTTGCAGCGCGCCGGGGAGATATCTTACAGTTCTGCTTTCTGTTGTCGGCTTATCCACCCAGCCAGGGGAAGCTGTCCAGGTTTATCGCCGTACACCTGAAAGCCCAGCCTGTCACCGCACTGCTAACCTCCCTGGTGTGCCCAGTCGACTCGCTGCTCGGCTGTCCCTCGACCCCGGTTCTGCCGTTTGCCAGCCCGAGCATTCTCATTCAGCTGAAGGGAGCGTCAGCAACACTGTCCGACCTCTTCCCACCCCATGTCGGACTCTACTTGCTTCCAGGTCGCCTCAGCAGGCCATTGAGGACTTCGACGACCAGTCGGCTTCCTCCTCTAGAACCTACCCCACTGCCGACTTTGCCTGCAATGCTCATGTCGAAGCTCGCACCGACGATGACATATGCTGCGACCTTGTCACTCTTCTGTGGGAATCTGCTCGCGACCCCGATTGCCAGGCTTTTATGTTGGCGAGCACTCTACTCGAAACGTGTTTCGAGCATTTTGGAGACGGCGGTCCTCCGCTCTCGCGACAGCACCTTGAGCTAGCAGCACGGATTTCTCTGCCCTCACAGGGCTCCAGTTCATTCTGTCCTTTTTGGCAAGGACTTGACCGTGCTCTTGTGTGCTCACCATGGTCCCCTGATGCCCTGCCAGGACTGCACGGCCAGAGCCCACATGCACACCTACACATTGGGCAATATCAGGTTCCTTGCACTGTCGAGCAGCTCTTGCAATTCCTCATGCCGGACTGCTCGCTCGGCTCTGGCTGGGACCTTGTGTTTGCCACACAGCAACACGATCTGTGCCGAGTTCGACTGCTTGACTTTCGTCCTGAGGATTTTCTCTCGAGCCACATGCATTGCTTCACTGACGGCTCTTATACCGCTGCCACTTCGGCCAAAGCAGGCTCATGCACGTGGGCATGTCTGTTCATCTGCCCTGTCTCAGGCAGTTGTGCTGCCGTGTCTGGCGCAGTCCCACCGTGGGCCTTGCAAGACGAACGCCCGTCCGCCTATATTGCAGAATGTTACGCGCTGCTTGTGGCTGCGTGGCTTAGCATTACCAAGTTTGCGCAGATCCCCGTCACTCTCCGTTCGGACTGTCAGTCTGCCATCGGAGTTTTCCAAGGATGTTTTGTCGGCGCCCCATGTGGAGTCGCGGCGGTCCTGCGCAGCCTTGGGCTGTTTGCGCTCGAATTTTCCCCGCATCCCCCGCAAGCCGCCTATGTCGCAGGGCATTCTGGATGTCTAGGCAACGAACTCGCCGATTGTCTTGCGCGAAGTGCGGCGCAGGCAAGTCCGTGTGGATGCTTGCGTTGGTCCCCAGACGGAGCCAAACCATGGTGGTTCCAGGACGGCCATTCCCTTGGCTGGGCCGCAATCGCTGTTGCGAATCTCTCTGCCAATGCGATGTACCCGGGGCCGCATGTTGATGAAGTACCGCCATGTGCCGACTCGATTGGGCTTGCACCCTTGCAGCTCGTTGCTCCTTTTCTCCCCGGGGGGGCCCTGTCGAGCGATACTCCAATAACCCACGTTTGGGGCAAACTCTCCCTCAGGGTCTGTTCGTTCAACGTGCTCTCCCTCAACAGCGTCTCTCTTGAGGGGACCGCTGCAGATGGCCTTGCATTTCAACCAGCTCGCCCTGCTCTGCTTGCAGAATGCTTTCGGGCCGCCGGGGTTCATGTTGCCCTCATTCAAGAAGCCCGCACTCAGGAAGGCTTGCTGCGTACGCAAGGCTATCTTAGGTACTCTTCAGGCAGCACTAATGGAACACTAGGAGTTGAGGTTTGGTTGTTAGAGAACCACGCGCTCTTTAGTGACCCAGACGGCAAGAAGGGCCTGCGTCTTTCCGCGTCAGCATGTATGGTTCTGCATCGAGACCCACGCAGACTCCTTTTGCTCTTTCGGCAGGATGGTTTCAATCTCCTCTTTGTGTCTGCCCACGCGCCCCACAGAGCCGTTGAGATTGGCACAATTTCAGCATGGTGGGCTGAAACCAATAGATTGTGCCAGGTGCACGCGCACTCAGCCCTTGTTCTGGTCGGGGGAGACATGAACGCATCTGTAGGGTCTGTCACCTCCGCCGCCATCGGAGGTCAAGACCCTGACCAGCAAGATGACGCCGGAGCTCTTTTCGTAGATTTCCTACATTCCCAAAGATTATGGGTGCCGAGTACCTTTCCCTCCTGTCAGCAAGGCCCATCAGGCACATACGTTCAGAAGCGTAATGGAGCCTTTTCCAGAATTGACTTTATTGCTTGCCCGGCTGAATGGAGGGCTGGCCACATCAACACTTGGACGGATGAGTCACTGCATGCTGGCCAGGCGTACATTGATCATATTGCCGTTTGTGCGCAATTTGATCTTACCCTCCGATTAGCCGGCAGGTCCATCCCGGCCCCCCACCGCAGGTTCGACGGTCGAGCTATGCTTACCCCCAGCGGGCAGGCAAAGGTTGAAGGTATTCTCAAGGCAGCTCCGCGCATCCCTTGGGCTGCATCTCCACATGCCCACGCCTCCACTTTAGTCCATTACCTCCAGGACTCCCTTGCGGCTGCCTTCCCGCCTCAGAAGGGTCGCTGCTACAGAGCTTACTTGAGTGACTCGACTTGGCAGCTGCACGGGGAGGTTATGCGACTTCGGAAACAATGTGTGAGTGTCAAACGAGCCCTGTCTTTTCATCTCGTTGCAGCAGTTTTCCAAGTTTGGAAACAGGCTGACAGCGGGCCCCTACTCCACATGCTGAACTCGCAGTGGACTAAGGAGGCTCAGTATGCTGGTGCCGTGCAGAGCCACTTTCTATGTCTGACGTCGCAACGTCTGAAAGCCGCTTGCAAGCATGACCGTGCTGTGCACTTCAGCGAGCTTGCTGATGATGTGCAGAACAGCCGCCCCAACGCTGATAAAGCTGTGCAACGATTGATGGGGTTGCGTCGCAAAAAGCCTTTTCGGCCCGAGGTCCTCCCAGAACTTCACAAGGCCGACGGCAGCCGCTGTGTCACCCCAGCTGAGGCTACTGAAAGGTGGCGGGAACACTTCCGCGAACAGGAGGACGGATATGACATCGCCCCTGAGATGCTTCCGGGTCTGGCAAGCGGCCCAGGCTTTGTCCTCTCTCCCGACATGCTTACCGAGCTGCCCTCTCCTGATATCCTGTTGCAAGTCATTGCCTCATCCCACAAAGGCAAGGCTGCAGGCCCCGATGGCCTACCTGCTGAAGTAGGGCATGCCTCCCCGCAATGCTTAGCCCAGCTTCTTATGCCACTCATGCTTAAAATGGGCCTCACCTGTGTTGAACCGATAGGTTTCAAGGGAGGAACCCTGACGAAGCTTTACAAAGGCCGCGGTGACACCGCGCAGTGTGCCAGTTACCGGGCGATCATGCTCTTACCCACCCTGGCTAAGCTTTTGCACAAGGCTTTCCGGCCAGGACTGTACGAAGTCTTCCACTCCAATGCGTCCCCGGCGCAGCTAGGCGGCCTTAAGAACACTTCAGTAGTCCTCGGCTCGCACATCACACGAGCCTTTGGAAGATACTGCGCTGCCAATAGCATCACGAGTGTTGTCCTCTTCGCAGACGTCGCCTCTGCTTACTACACTGCTGTCCGTGCCCTGACCGCGCGGAAACATGTTGCTGATGGTGAGGATGATAATGCTTACATGCCGACCAGGGAGCATCTTGCAGAGGAGCTTTCCAAGCCGAGCGCCATGAGGCAGGCGCATGCCTCGCCCTGGATTGAGTCGCTTACCGCCGAGCTGAACAGCAACACCTGGATGTGCCTTGCAGGCGACTCCCAACCGGTTGTAACCAGACAAGGCTCCAGGCCCGGATCCAGCTTCGCTGATTTGTTCTACGGGGTCACGGTCCCACGGTGGCGAGATGAAGCTCGTAACGGAGCAGCGTCTCCTGCGTCCTCCCTTTCTGATGTCGAGCATGCTCCTGTGATTTGGTGGGATGGGCGCTTTGATTTCTCAGAGCCGTGCACCGATCCCACAGCCTGCACCACTTCCACAACTCTCTGTGATGTCATCTGGGCGGACGATCTCGCTAAATGTATTGCCGTACATAATGCTGGATGTGCCGCTGCCGCCACTGCAACTGAATGCGGCCTACTTGCCGATGCCTTTTATGCCCACGGGTACGAACTCAGCTTCGGCCCCGCCAAGACCGCAGCCATCGTAGTGCCCCGCGGGGCCGGCTCAAGACAAGCACGTAAGACCCTGTTCTCGGGTAAGTCAGTCTTGCCTATTTTCAGGGAGGAAGTAGGCTGTGCCTCGTTGCCTCTTGTCACCACTTATAGACATCTCGGGGTCAAAATCTCTTCCAGCATATCCATCATGACTGAGCTTCGCCACCGCGCATCGCACGCGTGGTCCGCCTTTCAGCAAGGGCGCACCAAGGTTTTCCGCACCCGGCGGATCTCTGTGAAAAAACGTGGCCTTCTCTTGTCGACTCATGTCATGACCAAGCTCCTTTTTGCTGCGGGGGCATGGCCGCCCCTCAGTAAAGGTGAACATTCGTTCTTCTTTCGCACGGTTGTATCCCTGTACCGGCAAACCCTGTCTATCCCCCACGGGGACGACCAGCACCTCACTCACGCTACCATTTGTGCCCTTGTCGGACAGCCTCCTCCCGAGGTTCTCCTACTCACCGAGCGAGCGAGATACCTTCTTCAGCTGCTCAACGCGGCACCCGAGCAACTCTGGGCCTTGGTTCGCCGGGATGCCGCCTACGTTGCACATCTGCGCAGCGCCCTTTTCTGGGTCTATCGCTGGGTTTGTGACACCTCCAATCTTGGAAGTCCCGATGATCAATGGCCTGAGTGGGAGCAGGTTATGCGTCATCGTCCCCACATCTTCAAAGCCCTCATCAAGCGTGCACAGGGCCTTGAGCTCATGCGTACCGCGTGTTATGCGGCTCTCCAGGCCGTTAGGCGCGCTTTGGAGCAGCTGGTGAAGGGCAGCCCTCCCCCAGAACCTAAGGGGATCCGCTACCAGGAGGCTTGCCTGCAGTGTAAAATTGCCTTCCCCAGCCGAACAGCGTGGGCCTGCCACGCCTCCCGGCTGCACGCCTACCGGGCGTCCTCTACCTTACTCGCTGCAGGATGTGATAGACCCGTCTGCAAGGCCTGCGGGCGACTCTACGCTAGCATTGGGCGCTTAAAGCGGCACCTCAACACTTCCGAATCCTGCAGACGCGGCTGGGGTGCTTTTCACCCCCTTCCTGGGGGTACGTCCACCCTTCATCCCGAAGCACCTCCTGTTGCCCTCCCAGGTGTACATGACGGCTTCTCTGCTGCTCTCGACCCTGCGAAAGTCCACCCAGGTCTACTCCGGGAGCTCCAGGAATTGTCTACGCCCCTTACGGAGGACGTGTGGGATGTAGTTCAGGGCTACATCGAGCCCCTCCCTCTGCTTAAGGATACTCTTGAGGAATGGGCTCAACACCCCGGCCCAGAGCAGGATACAGATATTGCTGCCGCCATCGCCGGGGACGTTTGTCTTCTTCTCGACCCCGAGTTGTGGTGTGAAGACTTCCGTGCCCCAAAAAGCCCTCCCATGCCGGCTGTCGCCTGCCCTCCCTTCGCGGATTTTGACTTTGGCCGCTTGTCTTTCGTGCTCACTGGAGCAGAGCATATCGTCGACATTGAGGAGCCCCCTCTACGAGCTTTCGTTTACCCATTTGGTGCGAGTGTCCCGCTTGCCGCAGCGCGTCGTCACACCGCATGGATGGAAGCTACATGCGATGCCATTGGACTTACCTTGCAGCAGTCTCTTGCCAGCCCTGTCCGTATTCGGCTTTCTCCTCTTGCGGCAGAGTGCCTGAAACCGATCCCGACCTGGCTAGAGAGCTGTGGGTTCAGGGTTGAGCCGGGTTGTATTCGTTCCCCACGCGGTTGAGCCATACACCTGCTCCCCTTCTGTTTCCGTTTCACCTCTGAATTTAGTGCGAGAGGCGCGTCCTCGGGACCCATGCCTACCAAGAAAGAAAGAAAGAATAGGTATATAGGAGTTTCCGAAAATAAGGGGTACCTTATTTTAGGGGTCCTTATAGTAAGGATCCTCCTATTTCGGGTGCTATATTAGGGTCCCCCATTTTTGGAATCTCCCATATGTATAAATAGAGAGAGAGAGAGAGAGAGATAGACATAAACAAGTCAAAACCATTACAGTGATTGATAGACAGCATGCGAAAGTTAATACAAGACCAACGACATGGGCAACAAGAGTACTTGTATCAAAGTGTCAGACAAATAAGTACAAACGTATAACACACGAAGTAGCCGCAAATAGTATACTATAGGGGCCTTAATAGTCATTTTCGGGACCCTCATTATACTTATAGTACAATATACCCCGAAGACCCATTCTGATCGCCTATAAGCCCCTTTAGGGGATCCCTTTCAAAGGGAACCCTATTCTAATTACTCAGTTACTCAGGCCCCTATATTCCCAGAGACTCCAATATCCCAGAATACAATATACCTCAAATCATATCAGGGATGATACCATAATTTAAGCAACATTCCCTAATTAAGGGATATTGGAGTCTCTGGGTTATACTAAACCCTAAACCCTAAACCCTAAACCCTAAACCCTAAACCCTAAACCCTAAACCCTAAACCCTAAACCCTAAACCCTAAACCCTAAACCCTTGGAAGGCGCCCCAGAAGTTGCCCTTGCCGACTCGGGTTTGGCGCTTACAGCTCGGGCTTACAACTCAGGGTTGAGTTTAGGGTTTAGGGTTTAGGGTTTAGGGTTTAGGGTTTAGGGTTTAGGGTTTAGGGTTTAGGGTTTAGGGTTTAGGGTTTAGGGTTTAGGGTTTAGGGGTTTAGGGTTTAGGGGTTTAGGGTTTAGGGTTTGGGGGTTTAGGGTTTAGGGTTTAGGGGTTCAGCTTCTCTGACTTTGGAAATTTCGAGTCAAGCTATTTCAAGTCAAAACCCCACCCGCCCAAAGGTTCCCCTTACATTATGAAATAACAATCTTTATTTTATGTTCGTATAGAAGAGGAATTTCTTATCATAATACCTTTTATTTTGCATACAATATCAGTCTTTCACTTGCTGTATATAGAACAAGCAAGCAACGGTGTTGACACCATGGAAAATTTAGGGTTTAGCGACAGCTACAACTCCAAAGGATAGTCTTCCCAAGGCAAAAATCCCAGGACAGTTATCTGAGACGACTGATCCAAGACAACTAACTCAGGTACAACTCCAAACTAAACCCTAGGCCCTAAACCCTAGGGCCTAAACCCTAGGCCCTAAACCCTAGGGCCTAAACGACCCTAAATCTTGGGCGAACGGTTTAGCCCTAACTTGGAGGGTTTAGACCACGAAGATTACCTAAACCCTGGGGCCTAAACCCTACCCTAAACCCTAGGGCCTAAACCCTAGGCCCTAAATCTTGGGCGAACGGTTTAGCCCTAAATCTTGGGCGAACGGTTTAGCCCTAAATCTTGGGCGAACGGTTTAGCCCTAAATCTGGGGCGGACGGTTTAGCCCTAAACCTAGGCGAACGGTTTAGCCCTAAATCTTGGGCGAACGGTTTAGCCCTAAATCTTGGGCGAACGGTTTAGCCCTAAATCTTGGGCGAACGGTTTAGCCCTAAATCTTGGGCGAACGGTTTAGCCCTAAATCTTGGGCGAACGGTTTAGCCCTAAATCTTGGACGAACGGTTTAGACCACGAAGATTACACACTAGGGCTTAAACCCTAGGCCCTAAACCCTGGGGCCTAAACCCTACCCTAAACCCTAGGGCCTAAACCCTAGGCCCTAAATCTTGGGCGAACGGTTTAGCCCTAAATCTTGGGCGAACGGTTTAGCGCCACGAAGATTGATGAAGTCGCCACGAAGATTGATGAAGTCGCCACGAAGATTGATGAAGTCGCCACGAAGATTGATGAAGTCGCCACGAGATTGATGAAGTCGCCACGAAGATTGATGAAGTCGCCACGAAGATTGATGAAGTGACCACCCTAAATCTTGGGCGAACGGTTTAGGGCTGCCCTAAATCTTGGGCGAACGGTTTAGGGCCGCCCTAAATCTTGGGCGAACGGTTTAGCGCCACGAAGATTGATGAAGTCGCCACGAAGATTGATGAAGTCGCCACGAAGATTGATGAAGTCGCCACGAAGATTGATGAAGTCGCCACGAAGATTGATGAAGTCGCCACGAAGATTGATGAAGTCGCCACGAAGATTGATGAAGTGACCGCCCTAAATCTTGGGCGAACGGTTTAGGGCCGCCCTAAATCTTGGGCGAACGGTTTAGGGCCGCCCTAAATCTCGGGCAAACGGTTTAGCGCCACGAAGATTGATGAAGTCGCCACGAAGATTGATGAAGTCGCCACGAAGATTGATGAAGTTGATCAGCTGAAAACGTCAATCGCCACGAAGCCATTAAGGTTTAAATTACTATAGGTAGAGAGGTTTAGGGTTTAGGGGTTTAGGGTTTAGGGTTTAGGGGTTTAGGGTTTAGGGTTTAGGGTTTAGGGTTTAGGGTTTAGGGTTTAGGGGTCTGTCTGGCGAGGTCGCGCGCTCGGGTGTGAAGCACCCCGGGCCGCGCGCTCGCGTTGCTTGTAAACCCACCCCGGCCACCCAAACTATACTCTTAGGGTTTAGGGTTTTTTTAATTGATATTTTTGTACCCATGAACGTTCCAGTTGTTGAAGTTGTGGATTAGGCAACGGCTGGGAGTAGCCTCGGCCGTTTTCGGGCCTTCGGCACAGCAGGGCCGGCTCGGCCCTTCAAGCTTATCGTTTGACAGCTTTGGAAACCGCAAATCCAAGAAATCCCTAGGGCCTTCGAAATAGCCTTTGGAAAAGGAGCGGGTATTACAAAATCGACAATTTGGGTGCTTTGCTGGGGTTCCCTGCATTTCGACAGTTCCAGTTGTTGAAGTTGTGGTTTAGGCAACGGCTGGGAGTAGCCTCGGCCGTTTTCGTGCCTTCGGCACAGCAGGGCCGGCTCGGCCCTTCAAGCTTATCGTTTGACAGCTTTGGAAACCGCAAATCCAAGAAATCCCTAGGGCCTTCGAAATAGCCTTTGGAAAAGGAGCGGGTATTACAAAATCGACAATTTGGGTGCTTTGCTGGGGTTCCCTGCATTTCGACAGTTCCAGTTGTTGAAGTTCTGGCTTAGGCAACGGCTGGGAGTAGCCTCGGCCCTTTTCGGGCCTTCGGCATGGCAGGGCCGGCTCGGCCCTTCAAGCTTATCGTTTGACAGCTTTGGAAACCGCAAATCCAAGAAATCCCTAGGGCCTTCGAAATAGCCTTTGGAAAAGGAGCGGGTATTACAAAATCGACCATGTTCGTGCTTTTGTCAGGTTCCCTGCATTTCGACAGCTTTGGAAGCCGGAAATCCAAGAGGCATTGGACATTGCCTTTGGAAAAGGAGCGGGCATTACATAATCGACAATTGGGGTGCTTTGCTGGGGTTCCCTGCATTTCGACAGCTTCGGAAGCTTGAAATGCAAGAAATCCAAGGAGCCTTGGAAATGGCCTGTGGGAAAGGAGCGGGTATTACAATATCGACCATTTTCGTGCTTCTGTAGGGTTCCCTCCATTTCGACAGCTTCGGAAGCCGGAAATCCAAGAAATCCAAGGAGCCTAAATCCTAAACACTAAATCGGAAATACTAAATCCTAAACCCTAAATCCTAAATCCTAAACCTTAAATCCTAAATCCTAGATCCTAGATCCTAAACCCTAAATCCTAAATCCTAAATCTAGATTTTAGAGCTGGTTGTCCTTTTCCGAAAAGGACAAGCGCGACTAAGTATTGAAAATCGGAAGCTTAAGAGCAGCCACACAAAAAGAAAGAAGGGGACCTCGAGATTCGTAACCGGCCTTGTCTAAAAGGCACATTTTATGAACAGAATTTGCCACTTGAAAATCACGAGCAAAATCCAAATTTCCCGAGGCTACATCCTAAATCCTAAATCCTAAACCCTAAATCCTAGAATCCTAAACCCTAAATCCTAAACCTTAAATCCTAGAATCCTAAACCCTAAATCCTAAACCCTAAACCCTAGAATCCTAAACCCTAAATCCTAAAATCCTAAACCCTAAACCCTAGAATCCTAAACCCTAAATCCTAAACCTTAAATCCTAGAATCCTAAACCCTAGAATCCTAAACCCTAAACCCTAGAATCCTAAATCCTAGAACCCTGAACCTAAATCCTGAACCCTAAATTCAGCCACACGAAAAGAAAGGAGGGGACCTCGAGATTCGCAACCGGCCTTGTCTAAAAGGCACATTTTATGAACAGAATTTGCCACTTGAAAATCACGAGCAAAATCCAAATTTCCCGAGGCTACATCCTAAATCCTAAATCCTAAACCCTAAATCCTAGAATCCTAAACCCTAAATCCTAAACCCTAAATCCTAGAATCCTAAACCCTAAATCCTACACCCTAAATCCTAGAATCCTGAACCCTAAATCCTAAAATCCTAAACCCTAAACCCTAGAATCCTAAACCCTAAATCTTAAACCCTAAATCCTAGAATCCTAAACCCTAAATCCTAAACCCTAAACCCTAGAATCCTAAACCCTAAATCCTAAAATCCTAAACCCTGAACCCTAGAGTCCTAGAATCCTAAACCCTAGAATCCTAAACCCTAAACCCTAGAATCCTAAATCCTAGAATCCTGAACCCTAAATCCTAACATCCTAAACCCCAAACCCTAGAATCCTAAACCCTAAATCCTAAACCCTAAATCCTAGAATCCTAAACCCTAAATCCTAAACCCTAAACCCTAGAATCCTAAACCCTAACTCCTAAAATCCTAAATCCTAAACCCTAAACCCTAAAATCCTAAACCCTAAATCCTAGAATCCTAAACCCTGAACCCTAAATCCTAGAATCCTAAACCCGAAACCCTAAATCCTAGAATCCTA